ACTTTTTAATAAAAATGATTTAATCATATATTTTATCCTATCAAGATAATCCTTTTAATCAGGCATTTTATTTAAAAACACTTTCCAGTATTTTTACTTTGTTACGACTTTTTTCATTTTACTGAAAGTGACGGGCGATATGTACACATTTTAGAGCTTATTTCAAATATTTATAATTTAAATATTTTACTTTTAAATCTTTCTTTATAAAATTATTTAAAAATTCATATTGTTAAAAATTAATTAATATAATTCATAATAACCTTAAATATCAACTATATCTTGATTTAAAATATTTTTTTTAATTAAAATTTCTATTTTATATCTAAATAAAATATAAATAACGATATATAAATTGACTTTCAAATTTAAGTAAGATATCGGCGTTTTATCCCTTACTTTACAAATTCCTCTAATAAGAATAAAATGCCGCCATTTGACTTTAATTTCAAAAAATTCTACTCCTAATCTTTGTTTAAGTATAATAGGGTATCTAATCCTAGTTTATTATCCTTATTTTATAAGAAAATTTTAATTTTTTTTTACGTTTTAAAAATATTTCACCATCTTTTTAAAACATTATTTTTTTTAAAAAAATTATAAATTTCTTTCTAGACAAATATTTTTATCTTAACTGTTTAACCGCAGCTGCTGGCACAGATTTAGCCAATAAATTTTTATTAATTCTCATTATTAGTCACACTATAAAAATCTACTTTCTAATCATAAAATTTCTTATTATAAATAAATTAATATACAAAATACGTTGTCGCCAACCTAATCCAAAAAAAAAATTTTTTCAAATTTTTAAAAAATAAACTTTTATTATTTTTTTTTTTTTTTTGAAATCTACATTTATATAAATAACATACATTTTACATTTCCAATAAAGTCTAAGTGTATCCTTCAACAATACTTTTAATACGATTAACATTTTCTTCCTCTTTTTGCTTTCGTTATTCTTAATGAAGTGTAAAAATGATAAATCTATATCACATATTACTATGAGATTTATACACCCAATGAAGGCTCCATAGTGGATTAAATATATAACAAATCCTATGCGCCACATATATTATTCAAAAAATGAAAAAAATTGACATATTTTTTGACCGTAAAAATTATAAAATTTACATATTTTTTGAATTAAAATTGAGCCAAAAATAATTTTTTCCTTTGTAATTTTCTATATGAGTCTGGTCCAGATCACACATATATAATTTAATATGATATATACAAAGGAATTACAAATAGCCAAATTAACGTATAGATATACGTAGAATTTTTACAAATTTTGTAAATTTTAAATTCTTGCGGTAAAATCCTTTATACACCTAATTTTAGTAACGTACTATAAAATTATGGTTACAAAGCAAAATCCGCATAAATTTATTAATTTATAAAAAATTATAAAAATTAACGTATAGATATACGTAGAATTTTTACAAATTTTGTAAATTTTAAATTCTTGCGGTAAAATCCTTTATACACCTAATTTTAGTAACGTACTATAAAATTATGGTTACAAAGCAAAATCCGCATAAATTTATTAATTTATAAAAAATTATAAAAATTAACGTATAGATATACGTAGAATTTTTACAAATTTTGTAAATTTTAAATTCTTGCGGTAAAATCCTTTATACACCTAATTTTAGTAACGTACTATAAAATTATGGTTACAAAGCAAAATCCGCATAAATTTATTAATTTATAAAAAATTATAAAAATTAACGTATAGATATACGTAGAATTTTTACAAATTTTGTAAATTTTAAATTCTTGCGGTAAAATCCTTTATACACCTAATTTTAGTAACGTACTATAAAATTATGGTTACAAAGCAAAATCCGCATAAATTTATTAATTTATAAAAAATTATAAAAATTAACGTATAGATATACGTAGAATTTTTACAAATTTTGTAAATTTTAAATTCTTGCGGTAAAATCCTTTATACACCTAATTTTAGTAACGTACTATAAAATTATGGTTACAAAGCAAAATCCGCATAAATTTATTAATTTATAAAAAATTATAAAAATTAACGTATAGATATACGTAGAATTTTTACAAATTTTGTAAATTTTAAATTCTTGCGGTAAAATCCTTTATACACCTAATTTTAGTAACGTACTATAAAATTATGGTTACAAAGCAAAATCCGCATAAATTTATTAATTTATAAAAAATTATAAAAATTAACGTATAGATATACGTAGAATTTTTACAAATTTTGTAAATTTTAAATTCTTGCGGTAAAATCCTTTATACACCTAATTTTAGTAACGTACTATAAAATTATGGTTACAAAGCAAAATCCGCATAAATTTATTAATTTATAAAAAATTATAAAAATTAACGTATAGATATACGTAGAATTTTTACAAATTTTGTAAATTTTAAATTCTTGCGGTAAAATCCTTTATACACCTAATTTTAGTAACGTACTATAAAATTATGGTTACAAAGCAAAATCCGCATAAATTTATTAATTTATAAAAAATTATAAAAATTAACGTATAGATATACGTAGAATTTTTACAAATTTTGTAAATTTTAAATTCTTGCGGTAAAATCCTTTATACACCTAATTTTAGTAACGTACTATAAAATTATGGTTACAAAGCAAAATCCGCATAAATTTATTAATTTATAAAAAATTATAAAAATTAACGTATAGATATACGTAGAATTTTTACAAATTTTGTAAATTTTAAATTCTTGCGGTAAAATCCTTTATACACCTAATTTTAGTAACGTACTATAAAATTATGGTTACAAAGCAAAATCCGCATAAATTTATTAATTTATAAAAAATTATAAAAATTAACGTATAGATATACGTAGAATTTTTACAAATTTTGTAAATTTTAAATTCTTGCGGTAAAATCCTTTATACACCTAATTTTAGTAACGTACTATAAAATTATGGTTACAAAGCAAAATCCGCATAAATTTATTAATAAAAATCAAATTATAAATTTAATTGCAAATTAAAAACTGATTTTAAAAAATCTTTGATTTTGATTATTTAACTAATAAAAGTATTTATTTTGAAAATAAAAAATAGAAGTATCTTCTAATAATCTCCTCTTTCTCCTATATCAAAAAAAGAAATAATCTATTTAAGATCTTTCACTTACAATGAAAAAAAGTTTTTTACTTTCTTTTTAAAGAAATTTTTAATTTTTACTTTTAATTTGATAAAAATATAACTTTTCTTTTTTTAAAAAATAGTACTGTAAAGGAAAATTTTTAATAATAAAAAAGTAATTAACTTACCTTTTGTATCAGGGTAATTCTATAAAAAATTAAAATTAATAACTCTCGAAAAAAATTAATCTAATATAATTTAAACTTTTTTATTGAATAAAAAAAAATAAAATTATATTTTTAGTTAAATTCATATAAAAATTTTATATCTAGTTAAAAAATGATTATTTTAGATAAGTTTATAAATTTTAATTTATAATATAATTAATTTATAAATACAGTAATAAGAGATAAGTTTTATTACTTTAATATAAAAATTCAATAAATGAAAAAAAAGATTTAAAATTGATTAACTCTTGTTATAAAAACTTTTATTTATTCTTATAATTTTATTTATCAAAATAATTTATTAAATAAAATTTAAATTAAATAATGATTTAATTAGTATAATTTAATAATTTTTATTATAAATTCGGCAAATCATATATTCAACTGTTTAACAAAAACATTTTTTTTTGATTTTATAAAAAATATGTTCTGCTCAATGCTATAAAGTAAATTGCTGTGGTAACCTAACTACACAAAGGTATTGAAATAAGACTTTAAATGAGTGCTAAGAGAATGGAAAAATGATTATATACTTTATTATAAAAACATTCTAAAATTTATATTAAATATAAAAATATATTTATATTATTATTAGACAAGAAGACCCTATGAATCTTTAATTATTAAAAAAAATAATAATTTTAATTGGGGCGATTAAAAAATAATAAATAACTTTATTAATAAAGTTTCTTAAAAATTTTTAAAAAGATACTCTAGGGATAACAGCGTTATTATTTTGGATAGTCCATATTGATAAAATAGTTTGCGACCTCGATGTTGAATTAATGTACCTAAATAAAGTAGAATTTATTTAAGGCAGATTGCTCATCTGTTAAATCATTACATGATTTGAGTTCAGACCGACGTAAGTCAGGTTGGTTTCTATCTATAATATAATTTATTATTACTTAGTACGAAAGGAATTGTAATATTTTTTACAAATAATAGTATATACCCTATTACATAGATTTTGGAGATCTAAAAAAATAAGAAATTTTATTTGTCTTAAATTCCTGTTTTTGCTTTCTTTAAAACAAAATGACAGATTTAATGTGATAAATTGTAAATTTATTTATGATTCTATATTCTTTTGTTTTTTAATTTTTAGTGTACTTCACATCAAATTTTGAATTTGGAAAAAATGATTAATTATCATTAAAATTAATTATTAACTAATTTGGCAGAAAATTGCATTAAATTTAGAATTTAAATAAGAAATATATTTCATTTAGTTAATTGACCTTATTATTAATTGATGTACTAATTTGAGAAACCATATTTTATTAAAATGGCAGAACAATGCATAGGATTTAAGCTCCTTTTATATCTTTTACAGATTTTTAATAATTTCTTTTGTTTTTCTTAAAATTTTTATTATTATTAATATTCTTTTAAGTATTGCTTTTATTACACTTCTAGAACGGAAAATTTTAGGATATATTCAATATCGTAAAGGGCCTAATAAATTAGGTATTATAGGGCTATTACAACCTTTTTCAGATGCTATTAAACTCTTTAGAAAAAATAAATTAGACCTAAATTACTATAATAAAATTATTTACTTTATTTCCCCTATGATAGCTCTTACTCTTATACTTTCTTTTTGGATGATAATTTATTTTCCTTTTTCAAAGGGTAAGAGCATTAATTATGAATTTTTAATATTCTTATTTATTTCAAGTATAAGAATTTATCCTATTATTTTTAGTGGTTGATCTTCTAATTCTAAATATGCTATCTTAGGTGCTTATCGAGGTGTAGCTCAAACTATTTCTTATGAAGTAAGTTTCTCTTTTATTTTAATTAGTCTATTAATTTTAAATAATAATATTAATCTTTCTAATCTTAATATTATTCAAATAAACTTTAAATGATTAATTTTTGGTTTTTTCCCTATATTTTTAATTTGAATAACTATTTTAATAGCAGAAACTAATCGAACACCTTTTGATCTAGCTGAAAGTGAATCTGAACTAGTCTCAGGTTTTAATATTGAATATAGAGGTTTAGAATTTGCTTTAATTTTTATAGCTGAATATGGTAATATTATTTTTATAAGATTTGTTACTTCAATATTATTTTTAGGAGGTTCTTCTTATTTTCTAACTCTTAAAATCTTAATCATTAGAATTTTATTTTTAATTATTCGAGGAACTTTAATTCGATATCGTTATGATATATTAATATATATAGCTTGAAAAACTATTCTTCCTTTTAGTATAACTTTTCTTTTGTTTTCAACTATTTATTTCTTTTTTTGACTTAATTTGAGAATCCACTAAAAAATATAAGGACGTACTAGTAAGTAAATAAAATACATAATTGTATAAATTTGACTTAATAAAATATAAGGTCTTTCTACAGGACACGATCCCAAGAAAGTTAATATAATAAAAATATTTACAAAAATTCAAAATAAAATCTTATTTATAATATAAAAAGAAGAATTTATATAATAATTTTTAGATAATCAAGGTAATAAAAATAAAATTATAATTCTTATTACTAAACCAATTACCCCACCTAACTTATTAGGAATAGAACGTAAAATTGCGTATGCAAATAAGAAATATCATTCAGGTTGAATATGCGGAGGTGTAACCATTATATTAGCGGGAATAAAATTTTCAGGATCTATAAATATATAAGGTTTAATTAACACTACATATATAAATACTATTAATAAAATTATAATACCTAAAATATCCTTATAAGTATAGTAAGGATGAAAAGGAACCTTATCAATATTTCTTCTTACCCCTAAAGGATTTCTTGACCCATCTTCATGTAAAAAAATAATATGTATTACTACTATTAATATTAAAATAAAAGGTATTAAAAAATGTAATGAAAAAAATCGTATTAAGGTAACACCACCTACGGAATAACCCCCTCATACTCAATAAGTTAATATTTCTCCAATATAAGGAATTGCTCTTAATAAATTAGTAATTACCGTAGCCCCTCAAAAAGATATTTGTCCTCAAGGTAAAACGTACCCTATAAAAGCAGTAGCTATCAATACTAATAAAATTATTACCCCTATTCTTCAAGTCTTAATCTTATAATACGAATGATAATAAATTCCTCGACCAATATGTAAATAAATTAAGATAAAAAATATAGAAGCACCATTAGCATGAATTCTTCGAATTAACCAACCTCTATTACAATCTCGAACAATACGAGAAATACAAGAAAAAGCCATATTTATATCTCTACAATAATGAAAAGACAAAAATAAACCAGAAATAATCTGAATTAATAAACAAACACCTAATAAGGAACCAAAATTTCATATATAATTAATATTTGAAGGAGTAGGTAAATCCACTAAAGCTGCATTTAAATAAGATATTAATTGTCTTTTTCGAAAAACCATTTAAATTTTTACCCGTAAAGGTATATTTACAAAAGAAATTATTTCAATAATAAAGATTAAAGATAATATCAAATAAATTATTAATATTATTATAATAATTAAAGTAAAAGAATTAAAAAAATTATTTAATATCAAATGTCTAATTCTATAACTATTATATAATTTTATATTAGGAAAACATAATAAAAAAAATAATATAACTAATAATCCCTTATTTGAAAAATAAAAATATTCATTAGAAGATAAGGATGCTATATAAATAAATAACACTAATAAACCCCCTAAAATTATTAATATAAAAATAAGTCTAAATCATCTTCTTTTTATCAAAAATGTTATTATTAATATTAATACTATAGTTATTAATATAATATAAATTAATAATATAATAGGATGAGATACAAAAATTATTATTATTATCAAATAAAATATTATTATAATAACTATAAAATGAATCATTTTACCTGATTTACAAAATCAATATTTTATATAAATTATTATAGTTATTTTTTCATTCAATATATTATTAATTTTCAGTGGAATTTTATCTTTTTTATGAAATCGTAAACATATTTTAATAATACTTATTAGTCTTGAAATTCTTATAATAGGTTTATTCTCTATATTTTATATTTTTTTACTAAATGAAATATTTGAAATAATTTTAATTTTTATAGTTCTTATAGTTTGTGAAGCCTGTCTTGGACTTAGTATATTAATTTTAACTATTTTTTTTTATAATAATGATTTTCCTAATAATATAAAAATATTAAATTTTTAAAAATTTTTAAACTTTTTTTTATTATTTTTCTAATTATTATTATAACTTATTATAATTTCTTTACTAATTTTTTTTTAGGTTTTATTTTATTTATCTTCTTCATTATAAATATAAATAATATTAATTTATTTATAATTAATAATCTATTTTATATTGATGAAATAAGTATAATATTAATTATTTTATCAATTTGAATTATTCTATTAATATTTCTATCAATAAAATATAATAAAATACTTTTTACTTTATTTAATATTCTATTAATTACTTTAATTTTAAGATTTTCTACTTCTAACTTAATTTTATTCTATATTATATTTGAAATAACTATTATCCCAATATTATTTTTTATTATGTTTTGAGGATATCAAATAGAACGATTTGAAGCCAGCATTTATTTATTATTATATACTATTTTTGGTAGATTACCTTTACTATTAATAATCTTAATATTAAATAATCACTATAGTTTATCTATATTTTTTTTAACATTTCTAAATATTAAATTACCCAATTTTGAAATAATATTCCTTCTCTTAGCTTTTTTAATCAAAATACCTATCTATGGTTTTCACTTATGATTACCAAAAGCTCATGTTGAAGCTCCTATTGCAGGTTCTATACTTTTAGCTGGTATTCTACTTAAACTTGGTGGATATGGTATATATCGAATTTTTATGTCTATTAATTGAATAAATATTAAATTATTAGAAATCTTTATTTGGCCTTTAACTATTATTGGTGCTATTATTATTAGTATCATATGTATTACTCAAATTGATATTAAAATATTAATTGCTTATTCATCTATCTGTCATATAAGTATTGTTGTAGGTGGACTAATAAGAGGTAATTTTTGAGGTCAATCAGGAGCTTTATTAATAATAATTAGTCATGGACTTTGTTCTAGTAGCTTATTTTTTATAGCTAATATCTATTATGAACGATTCTTTACTCGTAATCTCCTTCTCTTAAAAGGATTAATAAATATTTTTCCTGTCTTAGGCTTTTTTATATTTTTAAACTGTGTTATTAATCTTGGATCCCCTCCAACAATAAATCTTTTAAGTGAAATTCTTCTTTATGGTAGAATTATAAAATGAAATATTTTAAATATACCTTTATTAATAATTCTATCTTTTCTTAGTAGATTTTACTCTATTTATTTATTTAGTATCACTCAACATGGAAAATTTATCTTTCATAAAGCAATTTTCTCCCCTTCTATTAAAGAATATAATATTATCATTTTTCATTTATTTCCTTTATTCATTTATTTATTTAAAATAGAATTATTTATATTTTTTTATTTTAAAAAATTACTATTAATTAAAAATTTTTAAATTTTAAAAAAAAAATGATTAAAATAATTTCTTATAATTCTCGTATTTCATATATTTATCTATATATAGCTTCTATTTTCCTAATTTTTTCCTTTATATTTCTTACTCTAAATTTTATTTGTTTAAAATACAATCAATATTTTATTATTGAATTTCCTATTAATAATAGTTTACTATTTTTAGATCTTAATCTATTTATTTTAATTGATTGAATTAGTTCCTTATTTCTATTTATTGTTTATTTTATTAGTAGAATAATTATTTTTTATTCTAATGTTTATATAATAAAAACAGAGAAAAAAAAATTTCTTATTTTAATTACTTGATTTATTATTTCTATATCTATACTAATTTCCTGTCCTAATCTTATTATTGCTATTTTAGGCTGAGATTTTTTAGGTCTATCTTCTTATTGTTTAATTATTTTTTACAATAATGAATCTTCTAATGCTGCAGGTATAATTACTTTCATAACAAACCGATTAGGAGACTCAGGATTTATTATAGGTTTAATTATAATAACTAACTTCTACTCCTGAAATATAATTGATCTTATAAACGAAAAAAATCCATTATATTTTATTATTATTCTTTTACTTTTAAGAGCCCTAACTAAAAGAGCCCAATTACCCTTTTCTTATTGATTACCTGCAGCTATAGCTGCTCCTACACCTGTTTCTGCATTAGTTCATTCTTCTACACTAGTTACAGCTGGTGTTTATCTTTTAATACGTTTTAATTTATTTTTTAGAAATAATATTATAAGTGAACTTCTTATAATTATTAGAGCATTAACCCTTTTTATAGCAAGTTTAAACGCTTTATTTGAACTAGATATAAAAAAAATTATTGCTTTTTCTACTCTTAGCCAACTAAGTATTATAATACTAATAATTGCTATAAATAAATATGAATTAGCATTTATTCATCTTTCTACGCATGCTATTTTTAAAGCTATACTCTTTATAAGAGCAGGTATTATTATTCATAATTCTAATAATTGACAAGATATTCGTCATATATATTTATTAAATAATATTAGACCTTTTATTACTAAAATAATAATATTAGCTAATCTATCTCTTATAGGTTTTCCCTTTTTAAGAGGTTTCTACTCTAAAGATATAATCCTAGAAATATTATATACTACTAATAATTCTTTTATTATTATAATTTTTATTATTTCAAGAACTTTTATAACTATTCTTTATAGTTTACGATTTATATATTATTTAATAAAAATAGAAATTATAAATTCAACTAATAATTTTAGCGAAAATCCCTTTATAACTATTCCTTTAATTATCATAGGTTTAGTAGTTATTTTCCTAGGATGTTTCCTTAGATGAACTTTAATTCCTAACCCTCAATTTATTTTTATAAAATTTCATATTAAAATTATTAATTTATTAATTTTATTTATTTCCTTATATCTTTATTATATTTGAACTAATACTTCTATCTTTATTTCTAATAAAAATATATTTTTTTATAATTTTTGTAGAAAAATATGATTTATAGAAAATACAAGCTGACTTTTTCTTCCTTTTCTTAAAAGTTCCAAATTTTTAAATAAAAATACAGAATTCTGATTAGAATCATCTAACTCCCTTTTTTTAAACAAAAATATAAGAAAATTCAATCTCTTTTTATCATTATTTCAAATTAATTCTATTAATAACTTAATAAAAATTTCATTTGTTATTATTATTATTTACTTTTTGTATTAGATTTTTATAGTTTATATTTAAAACATAGCCTTGAAAATGCTAAAAAAAATTACATATTTTAAAAATAATTTTTAGTCTTAAAACAACTTAACAATGAAAATGTTATATAATATAATTTTTACTATAAAAATAAAGATTAAATGAACTATTCATTTTTTATAAGTTAGCAGCTTATATTTATTAATCTTTTTAATAAGAAAAATACTTTCAATATTTTCATTAACAATGAAATGCCTCTATTTTGGCTTTTATTAAATAAAGGTATTTATCCTATCTTTTAGGTCGAAACTAAACGCAAACATTGCTTTTTATAAACAGAAAAGGTTTTACTAAACAAAGTCTATATGCAAAATAGATTTTATATATTTAAATACTATTCTCTACTAACTATTTAATTCAATTTAAAGCCCCATTTATTCATTCAAAATATAAACCTACTATAATAATTAAAATTACTATAATAATTATATAGAAAAAAAAAGTATTATAATAAAAAATTATAGGTATAGGTAAAATAATAATAATTTCAATATCAAAAAAAATAAAAATTAAACAAATTTTAAAAAAATGTAATCTAAAAGGTACTCGAGTTAAACTTAAAATTTCAAATCCACATTCAAAAGATATAGATTTTTCATACAATCATTCTTTCTTAAAACTAGTCAACAAAGAAATTATAAACATAAATATTAATAAAATTATAATAATTATAATAAAATAAATTTATATTAATTTATTTTTTTAAAAACCTTTTAATTGGAAATTAAATATACTTTTTATACTAATAAATTTTTAATAAACTCATCAATATACAAAAATATATAAAAATAACCAAACAACATCAACAAAATGTCAATATCAAATAGCTATTTCTAAACTTAAATGATTTTTTATGTCTATTCAATTTATTATTATTAATAATAGATTTAATCTTAAATAAATAGTTCCAATAATTACATGTAATCCATGAAAACCTGTTAATATATAAAACACAGATCCACAAATCCCATCATTAATAGTAAATAACGCTTGTTTATATTCTATATACTGTAATAATCTAAAATAAATACCTAATCTTACAGTTAATAATAAAGATACTAAAGCTATTAATTTCTTATTATTTAAAATTCTATAATGACTCCAAGTAATAGTAAAACCAGATATTAATAATACTATAGTATTTAATAAAGGAATTTCATAAGGATTAAAAAAAATAATACCCTTAGGGGGTCATATTATTCCAATTTCAATTCTAGGAGAAAGTATTCTATGAAAATAGGCTCAAAATAATCTAATAAAAAAAAAAATTTCACTAATAATAAATAAAATTATTCCTATTTTTAAACCTTGTTTTACAATAAATGTATGTATTCCTTCTATTAATGACTCTCGAATCACGTCTCGTCATCATAAATAAAAATTTAAAATTAATAAGAAAAATGAAAAAAAAAGAAAAAAAAAATTATTCAAATGTAATATACATACAATTCTTACTATAAAAGTAGAAGCCCCAAAAGAACTAATAATAGGTCAAGGACTATTTTCAACTATATGATAAGAATGATAAACCATTTTTAAACTTCATTTAAATAAAGTACCAATAAAATTATATATACATATCTTTGAATAATAGTAACAAATATCTCTAATACTGTCAAGCTAATTATTAAAGGCAAAGTAAATATATAATATATTATTGATATCTCTCCTAATCTTGATAACAAAACTAACAATAAATGCCCAGCAATTATATTAGCTACTAACCGTACTGCCAAAGTTAAAGGACGAATTAAATTACTAATTCTTTCAATTAATACCATAAAGGAGGCTAAATAAATAGGTGTCCCTTCAGGTACTAAATGCTTTATTATTTTATTAAAAAAATTTGATCATCCAAAAATTATAATAGTTATTCATACTCTTAATGATAATCTCATTGTTACTGATATATGTCTTGTTGGTGTAAATACATAAGGTAATAACCCTAAATAATTTATTCCTATTAAATAAAAAAATATAGTAATAAATAAAATAACTAATATCTTATTTATTTTTAAAAAATTAACTACAATTTCTTCATATAATATCTTTGCAGTAATATAATATAAATATATTACACGAGACTTTATCTTTCAAAAACAAGAGAAAGTAAATAAATATAATAACCCTATAGATAATCAATTTATTCTAAAATATAATGAAGTACTAGGATCAAAAATTGAAAATAAATTTAATATCACTTCTTACCCCTTTTTTTATTTATAAAATTTTATTTACTTAAATATAAAATAATAATAAATTATTATTATATAATAATTCAATATAAATACTATATGAATTAATACTCAATATGAAGGATACATTTGAGGTATTAAGAATTACTAAAAGTAATTATGAAATGACAATTCATCGTTATATATTAACTAAATTCTTATTTATCATTAAAAAAGATTTTACTTTATAAATTAGCTTAAGAGGCTATTGCTTTAAACTTCAGCCATTTAATGAAAACTTATTTACTCATTGAATAAAATTTTTTAAAGAAACTATCTCTAAACAAATAGGTATAAAACTATGATTAGCCCCACAAATTTCTGAACATTGTCCATAATATAATCCAGGACGATATCCATATAATATTAATTGATTTAAACGCCCTGGAATAGCATCAACCTTTAAAGCTAAAGAAGGAACTGTTCATGAATGAATTACGTCTGCTGATCTAACTAATAATCGAACACCTGTTTTATAAGGTAAAATTATATTATTATCAGTATCTAATAAACGAAAACTTCTTTTTTCTAAATCTCTTTCTCTTAATATAAAAGAATCATATTCAATATTAAAATCAGTATATTCATACGACCAATACCACTGATGACCAATAATCTTAACATTTATTATTACTTCAAAACTTTCTTCTATTAAATATAAAAGACGTAATCTAGGAACAGCAATAAAAATTAATATTAAAGCAGGTATTATTGTTCAAATAACTTCAATATCATGATTTTCTAATAAAAATCGATTATAAAAAGTATTTATTACTATATTAAATATTATATATCTAATTATAACAATAATAAAAATTAAAAAAATTAATGAATAATCATGAAAAAAAATTATCTGTTCTATAATAGGAGAATTTGCATTCATTATTATACATATAGACCAAAAAGTTATTATTTAGAATAAATCATTGTATATCTTTAAATCCACAATTTAACATTTTTTTTAAACTATCTAAATATTCTATTTAGTATAAATTACTACTACTTCATTAAAAGTATGAGCAACTGGAGGAAAATTAAAATTTCACTCCAAACTAGTTCTTATATTATGAGAATAAACTACTATTCGTTTTACCACTATAGCCTCTCATAAAATAAATAAAAATAAACATATTCTTAATACAGATATTAATGAACCTAGACTAGATATTATATTTCACCTTCTGTAAAAATCAGGATAATCTGAATAACGACGAGGTATTCCACTTAAACCTAAAAAATGTTGAGGAAAAAAAGTTATATTTACTCCAATAAATATTATTAGAAAATGAACCTTTAAAAATTTAGAATTCATTCTTATTCCAAAAAATATAGGAAATCAATTTACAACCCCAGCAATAATAGCAAATACAGCCCCTATTCTTAATACATAGTGAAAATGTGCTACTACATAATAAGTATCATGTAAAACAATATCAATAGAAGAATTAGCTAAAATTACACCAGTAATACCCCCTAAAGTAAATAAAAAAATAAAACCTAAAGATCAAATTATCGGGACATCTAATTTAACTATAGAACCATGAATTGTTGCTAATCAAGAAAAAATTTTAATACCAGTAGGAACCGCAATAATTATTGTAGCTGCAGTAAAATATGCTCGAGTATCAATATCTATTCCTACTGTAAATATATGATGAGCCCATACAATAAAACCTAAAATACCGATAGTTATTATAGCGTAAATTATCCCTAAATTTCCAAAAGGCTGCTTCTTCCCTCTTTGTATACAAATTACATGAGAAATAATACCAAAACCAGGCAAAATTAAAATATAAACTTCTGGGTGTCCAAAAAATCAAAATAAATGTTGATATAAAATAGGATCACCACCACCTCTAGGATCAAAAAATGTAGTATTAAAATTTCGATCTGTTAACAATATTGTAATAGCTCCAGCTAAAACAGGCAAAGATAATAATAATAAAATAGTAGTAATAAAAACAGACCATACAAATAAAGGCATTATTTCAAGATTTATCCCCTTTACACGTATATTTAAAATAGTAGCAATAAAATTAATAGATCTTATAATAGAGGAGATTCCAGCTAAATGCAAACTTAAAATTCCTAAATCAACTGCTACACCTCTATGAAATAAATTTCCTGATAAAGGAGGATAAACCGTTCAACCTGTACCTACTCCACTTTCAATAAAAGAAGAAAAAATTAATAAACTAAGAGAAGGTACTAATAATCAAAAACTTATATTATTTAAACGTGGAAAAGCTATATCTGGTGCAGAAATTATTAAAGGAACTAACCAATTACCAAAACCTCCAATTATAGCAGGTATAACTATAAAAAAAATTATTACAAAAGCATGAGAAGTAACAATAGTATTATAAATCTGATCATCTCCAATAAAAGAACCAGGTTGACCTAACTCTACACGAATTAATAGACTTAATATTATTCCTAAAACTCCTGATCATAAACTAAAAATAAAATAAATAGTTCCAATATCCTTATGATTACAAGAAAATAATCAACGTATTAATCTTATCTTATTTACTAATATAATAAAGATTTAAAATTATATATATTTTTTATTTTGAAAATAAATAGTTTAAATTAACTTAAAATCTTATTTAAATTTAGATAATTCTATACAAAAAAATAAAAAAAGGTAATACTAATAATATAATTCTTCTTCTTATTCCTATATTTTTATTTTTATTATAACCTAATCTTATAAAAAATAAACTCTTCATAAAATAATTTATATAAATATATATTCTTATTACAGATACTAATAATATAATTAAAAAAATTATTTTTTGATTCTCAAAATACATCAACAAAACAGTTATCTTAGAAATAAATCCTATAAAGGGAGGTATTCCACTTAAACTTAAAAAAATTATCATTAATCCTATCTTTATTCCAATTGGTAAATACTTTAATTGAATAAAATTATTTACTTCTATATTTTTTATCACTATTTTTAATATCATAATATTAATTAAATAAATAAAAAAATAAATAAATCAATATCTTCTATTTAAATTTAAAAGTATAATAATTCAAGTTAAATGAACTATTCTTGAATAAACCAATACTTTTCGTAAAGAATTTTGATTATATATTATAACTACCCCTATTAAATTATTTATAACTACAATAAATTCTAAATAATAAATTTCTATTAAACTTAAAATATACAAAGGAATTAATTTTTGCAAAGTTAAAAATACAATAAAACCCATTCAACTTAATCCTTCACCAACATCTACTAATCAAAAATGAAAAGGAAATAAACCTATTTTTATAAATATAATTCAACTAATTAATATTATATTTAATCTACTTCTTAAAACTATATTTCTTAATACTAAAAAAAATAATAATAATATACTTAAAAAGGATTGAATAATAAAATATTTTATTATTCTATTAATTACTAAATTATTTTTCTCAAAAATATAAAATATGAAGAATAATAGGTTAAACTCTAACATTACTCACAGGAAGAATCAACTTTCTACCGAAAAAGATATTAAAGAAACTATTACCAATAATACAATTCTTAACAATTTTATTCAAGATATATTATAAATCATTAAAGGAATTTTATCATTTTTGGGGTATGAGCCCAATAGCTTAAACCTTAGCTTACTTTAAT